CGCAGAAAAGAAAAAAAAAATGCACACTTGATATCAAAGAAAAGAATCAGAACAAAACCCATTGATTTCGCTTTCCCAATCCTTAGATTCACATTCACCACCATCCTTTACCAAAAACCCATTTACAGCCCGGCCCACGTGAACCTCCACTCCCCCTGCCTGGACTTCCCACGTGAATTCGCTGTATTTCAGACCCCTTCCACCTGAGCTGCGCACAACCCGCTCGATGAAATGTCCGTGTCGTGTGGGGTCGAGTGCGTCGTCATCCTCGGCTGCGTCCGCTGGGCCTGGAAGCGCTGCACCTACATCGGCTCCGACGACAGCGCCGCCTGGCCCGCCGCCACCGCCGGCGAGTTCAACCCCGTCCCCCGCATCTGCCGCGTCATCCTCGCCGTCTACGAGCCGGATCTCAGCTGCCCCAGGTACGCCCCCGCCGGCGGGGTCAACCCGGAATGGGTGGTCAAGCGCGTGGCCTACGAGCAGACCGGCGGCCGGGCCCCGCCGTACCTGATCTACCTGGACCACGACCACCGCGAGATCGTGCTGGCCATGCGCGGCCTGAATCTGGTGAAGGAGAGCGACTACAAGCTGCTGCTGGATAACCGGCTGGGACGGCAGATGTTCGATGGCGGGTATGTGCACCACGGCCTTCTGAAATCGGCGGCGTGGGTTCTGAACGAGGAGTCGGAGACTCTGGGGAGGCTGTGGGAGGAGACCGGACGGCAGTACAAGATGGTGTTCGCCGGCCACTCGCTGGGGTCAGGGGTGGCGGCGCTGTTGAGCGTGATAGTAGCCAATCACGGGGACAGATTGGGAGGGATACCAAGGAGTCTGATTAGGTGCTATGCGGTGGCTCCGGCGAGGTGTATGTCGCTCAATTTGGCAGTCAAGTATGCCGATATTATATGCTCTGTTGTGTTGCAGGTTTGCCTCTTTGTTTCCCTTTTCTCTTTTTCGGTTTGGGTTGATAACTGAGAAATCGGGAGCAATTTTTTTTTTTTTTGTTTCCTTGAAATAGTAGGTAAATAATGGATCTTTTTCAATCTTTTCTGCGGGGGCAGGACCTAAAAAATTTATTTATATGCAAAAATTGAAGATTTGAAAGTATACTGAAAATAATATTCATATTTACAGTGAATTTATGATAGATCTAATTTATATTGAGGATGCAAGATCAAATTGACGTAGTTATTAGGATGTGAAGCATGCCTGAAGTCACTTGACATAACTAATCTATTTGATTTTCAATTGAGGGGCCAGCAATTATTTACCCCCCTTTTTTTTTTGTTTTTTTTTGTTTTCGTCTTTAGAGGTCCATTATGAAGGGTTAGAATGAAATTTGTAAAGGTTGTTTGCCTTGCGATTTCTGAATGGTACATATAATTGGTATTTGTGGAATTCATGTACTGATGATACTCTTGTCTTGGCATTGTTCAGGATGACTTTTTGCCCCGAACACCAACCCCATTGGAAGACATTTTCAAGTCCATTTTTTGGTTAGTTGTTATTATTTAATGGTGTACTAAAAAACTAGAAGAAGATAGCTTTGCTTTCTTATACCTCTTAAAAGGAGTAAATTTTTACCATCGGTTTAAAACCAGAATGCTTTGGACAGTTTGCCCTGCTTATTGTTTCTCGTGTGCCTGAGGGATACATTCATACCTGAAGGCAGAAAGCTCAGAGATCCAAGAAGATTATATGCACCTGGTCGAATATATCACATAGTTGAAAGAAGATTTTGCAGGTAAAATTGCATCAAAATAAATCAAGATGCATGATGATTTTAGTACTGACTGTACTCAAGTATGAAACTGTTCTTTTGAGGATCAATTGCTAAGGTGATTCTGATGATTTTCTTCTTTTTGTAGTAACCTCTCATTGAACTATCTAATCTGCTACTTGTGCCCAGTCTTTAATGGTTTATCCTTCTTGAGTCTTCAGAGAAGATATCCACAAATACAACCAGTACAGTTCTAAGCTTTTTCGATTGAAGGCCTACAATTTAGAATATTTTTTTTAGTCCAATTACCTCATAGAGTGGATCTTTGTATCTTACTATGTGTACGTCCTGAATACCTATGTCGAGTGAATTTTGTATTGTTTAGTCTTGCTCATTCCTTATTTGTCACGCTCATAAAACTTGGAGGTTCAATGGTACTTAGATAAATTCACACGTCAGTACAATTTTATTTGCAAAACTTTTTTTGGTATGAGAGATCTAAACTTCTTTTTCAGATGTGGAAGGTTCCCTCCAGAAGTAAGAACTGCTATTCCGGTGGATGGAAGGTTTGAGCACATTGTTTTATCACGCAATGCCACCTCTGATCATGCTATTCTATGGATCGAACGAGAGGCAGAGAAGGCCTTACAAGTAAGTACAAGTGAACGAGTTTTTTATTTGCATATATATATCTGGAGCATAAACATCAACTTTTGAGACAGAAATTTATCTACTTTTACTCGCTTGAGAATATTCTGCGGCATTTTTATATGTCTTGAGGCACTATTTTAAATCTAGGATATGAAAACCTTGAAGACCATCAAAATTGGCCATATTATGACAAGATCTAATCAAGTTTCTTCAAAAGTTTGTAAGAAAATATTAAATTCATTGCCATTTTTCAGATTTTAAAGGAGCTCGATAAAGAGACCCCAATGACCCCTCCTAAAGTACAGAAACTGGACAGGAAGGTGACACTAGAGAAAGAACACAAGGATGCACTAGAAAGAGCCATCAGCTTGAACATACCACATGCTGTTACATCACCTGAAGAATCATCCTTAGCCTGCACTGAAGAAGGTTCTTCGGGTGACATAAGTGTTGAAAATTGTACAGAGAACACAGATCATCATTCCTCGGGGAATGGAGAATCAGCTTATAGGAATCCCAAAACCAACTGGAATGAATTGGTCGAGAAGCTCTTCAAGAAAAATGACTCGGGACAAATGGTGCTGAAGAAAGACGTATCCGATTCTGTTGCAGAAAATTGCTCCTGATGCTCGTGTCACGTTCTCTTTTTGTCTGTTTGTTTTGTATAAACAAGATTGTAGAAAATCTTGGTTTGTAATTTTTTTGGTTGTTCAATTGTAAATTCATGTGCAGATTGTTTGTGTGGAAACAGAAGATCATGATTTTCAAATGAAAGTGTTACCTTTTTTTGTACTGCTATGTGAAGAATTGGTTTATGGTGCAGTTGATGTTTAATCTTTTGCCTTTACCCCTCAAATTGTCTCAGGAATTAATTCTAATATTTTGAACACTATTGTTTAGAAACTGAACTTGGGAGCAGAAAACAACAGAATCAGATTTCTACAGAAATTCAAAAATATAGACTTTCACAAATGTGTATAGAATTCGACAGCACGAGTTCCTGTTCGAACCAAATCACTACAATCTCGAAAGCTTTTCCAGACCTTCAAGAACCACGTGCAGCTCCATAGCTTCCGAATCACTTCTATTTCTCGCCACAAACTCGTGAACTTCGTCTTTTATTTCTATCCAGCTTCTACCAGGTGGTTTCCCCTTCTTCTTCGTCATCATCTCTCTCGCTTCTTTCCTGATACTCATAACTTCACCCCATTGCCTCTCGTTCGCATACATATTGGATAAAAGCACGCGGGCCCCACCTCTCTCACTCAACGTCTCGATTTTTCTCGATACATCTCTCCCCATCTCCAAGTTATTGTGGAGCCTACAACCGTTCAATAAAGATCCCAAAACCACTAAATTAGGCTCCATCGGCATGCTTTCCACAATACCATAAGCCCGTTTTAACAAACCAACTCGGGCCAAGAGGTCAACCACACATCCATAGTGTTTTAAATCGGGCTTAATCTTATATTTCGTAACCATCGACTCGAAAACGAGTAAACCTTCCTTGACCAGACCAGAATGGGCGCAACCCGACAAAACCGCAACAAAAGTAACGGAATCGGGAATGAATTTACGTTCTTTCTCCATTTGCAAGAACATGTCGAGGGCTTCGGGCCCAAGTCCGAGCATGGCGTATCCGGAGATGATTGACGTCCATGAATACAAGTCTCGCTCGGAAATCCGTATGCTGTCGAAAACTTTCCGAAAATAGCACACGTCACCGCATTTCGCATAGGCGTCCATTAGTGAGTTAACGATCGAGGGATTGAGCTCGAGCCATCCGGATTTTTCTAGATAAGAGTGCATGCATTTGGTGAGGTTTGTGCATCCCAATCCAGCGCAAGCCGACATTGTGGATATGATGGTGATGGGGTTGGGCCGCGTTTGGCTGTTATCGAGGATTAAGTCTCGAAAGGTGAGAAAAGCTCCCACAAAATTGGATAGGGAGACGAGGCCCGAGATCATGCAAGTCCATGTAACGACATCTCTTTCAGGCATTTCATCGAACACTAACCGTGCGTCCAATTCCGAGCCACATGCCAAGTGCGCACCGAGCAGAGAATTTGCCACAAACGAACATTGAGCAGGAACCAGTTTGAGAACGTGAGAATGAACTTGTTGAACCAAGCCCAGATCAAAAACAGCTCCACAGGCCTGCAGCAAGAACGTAAACGTGTATCTATCGGGAAAAGAATCCCTTCTAAGCATTTCCACGTAATAACGCAGTGAGGTTGGGGGATCCGAGCCCGCGAAGAATCTGATCGCTGTGTTCCAGGAGAAAATATTGGGGTTTTCGGTACTGTGGAAAATCCGAACCCCGAGCTCCGGATTTGCACCCGGGTCAATCAAGCTCACGTAGAGCAGGCGGCTTATTACGAACGCGTTGCGGTGGAGGCCCGAAACGAAAACGTAGGAAACGAGGTGTTGGAGAAGGTGAGGTTTTTTCTGGCATTGTTCTTCGAGGAGCCGGAATTTGGGGTGCCTTTGAAACAGTTGGTTGTGGCGGGCCCAATCGGAGGAACTGGTTTGGCAAGAAGAAAAGTAGATTGCTTTGCGGAGGTTTGACGGCGGCGATAAGTGACTGAGAAAAGTGACTCTCGTTTGTAGGAAGTGATTCTTGAATCGCATTACAGAACTATGAAAGGAGAGTCTTGAGGATGATATGAATCTTTAGCTGTAACCAAATGAAATAAGGAGAATAGCTTTTACTTAACTTACAAGTTGGTAAAAAATAGTAAATTTCTGTTGAAAATACCAGCGCCTCAAATGCTGTTCAGCTCAACTGTGGCTTTTATAGCTTATAAATAATTTGGTTTTATAGCTCAAACACTACTTCTATACACATAAATACATTCAAATTTCATAAGCTTTGTGTAGGGCTGTATTCGTGTTTTGGCTTGAAATTATTTAACAACAGCTCAAACTGTCAAACACTACTTCGGTAGATACATTCAAATTTAACAAGCTTAGCATAGGGCTGTGTTCTTGTTCTGGATTCAGTCAACTCCGCTACAATCTCAATTCTCCCAGGTCAAATTTAACAAGCTTAGCATGGGGCTGTGTTCTTGTTTTGGATAATTGGATCGAGTCAACTCAGCTACAATCTCAATTCTCCAAGGCAATACACAAGAACCAGTCAAAATACCTAGTCAAACAAGAAATGCATGCACACAAAACAATAGAAACATACAAAGAAAAGAACACAAATTGAAGCTGACAAAAGGATCCAGATAAATCTTGTTAAACCTTAAAGGTAACTCAACACATGAACACAACCACCTACTTCCAGTACTTCCCCAACTTTACATTCATCCTGAAAAACACTCAGAAGAACAGAAACAAACACTGAACAGTCGAAACAGAAATTAACCCTACCGAAATCACATCAACAAACTTCCTAAATTCAAGTTAAAGAGAAGAAATCAGTCACAGACCAACAAACAGCACCACCACCAACAGTCACACTTCACTCAACCTCAAGCCTCAATACCAGTCTCCACAGCCTCAGCTGGCTTCACCTTCCTCGGCCTCCCTCTTGGCCTCCCAGTCGAGCTAGCTGCAGGCTTCGGCTTCTTGGCAGCAGGCTCTGCATCTGCAGAATGGGCCTTGCCAGGTGGGCGCCCCCTAGGGCGGGGTGGGTTAGCCGGGGGAGCAGCTGCTGGGGCAAGAGGATCTTTGGGCTTCGGTGGGCGGCCACGACCACGTTTGGCAGGGGCCGACTGAGATTCAGGTCCAGTGGGCCTGAGGTAGCCGCCATTGTTGGCAAGAACAAGGTTGCCAGTGTCTTTCATCTGGGCCAAGTGAGTGGCAAGGGAGTCTTCATGCTCAGGGGGCAATATCTGGCCGTACTTGGACTCGATGTAGTCAGATATGGATGATTGAGGAACTCCATCTGGCTGCTTGAGTGTATCGATTGCTTCTAGTATCATCTAAAGCCAGCAATGGTGGACAAAAAAGGAGTAAGAAAAAATTGAAAAATTGAAAAAGGGAACCGAATTTTGGGGATGAAAGTGAAAAGATCTCAACTTTGCTGCTCTAGTAATGTTTTTTCATTCTGCTACTTAAGATTTAGAAATTTAAGAATCCTGTACTGGCACTAGTTTGGTTAAAGGAATCGCTACTAGTAAAATTTGCACATTTTTTGCATGCTTCACATGACCAATTCAAAAATTTGGCAGATCATGTACTTTTGGTTGGTCCATACATGAAATGTAAACAGATTTAATTTAGTTTGGATGGCAGGCAGAATAAACATCTCCAGCGCTTCGTAAGCAAGTATGGGGAAAAAATCAGTCATGGTTTTAAGGGCAAAATGCTGTTAATTATTGTTCAAACGGAATATCGACTGCAATTATGCAAAAAGTAGGTATATTCACAAATTAATCAACTATACAAACAGCAAAGGAAGAAGAACAAATTGCATCATAACTACTGTGCTATCTGAGAAAAAATTACACAATAACCAAATACATAAAAGTTTAAAAATTGCGAGGAAGAAAAAATTAAAGGAACGAAGCTTTGCGCTAAACACGAAAGATTTCTGAAAACATTTAGAGACATCAATTAAGGAGGTTGACCTGTGAGTAAGGAGGGAGCTCGTCACTCGCCATTGAAACTTCGTTTGAGCTTTTACAGAGGCCGAACAAAAAAATCAGAAGTATAGAGAGAGAAATCCCAAACAAGTCGGCTTTGAATTTTGAAATGCTTTTGGGGTTTTCAGGGAGAGAAAGGAAAGGTCTCGTGGACAATTATGACTGCCCTTTTGACACAAGAAAGCAGCTGGTGGATGGTATCGAATAAATCTGGAAAAAACAGTGAAGAATCGACGGCCGAGATTCGCCTGATCGGACGGATAGAAACACTTGGAGATGTTGCTGTTCCGGATCGATGACGTGGCTTGGTAATTGGAATTCAAATGGATATATCTCTGTGTGATATCTGGCACTAGAGTTTTGTGTTTTTTTCCTTTTCCTTTGTAATTGTTATATTAATTGTTTAAAAGATAATCTTTTAGTTATTTAGAAAATATGATATATCCATATGATTATTTAATTTATTGATCCATTTTATTAATGATAAATTGCGATTTCAGTACTCAGACTAAGGATAATTTTAATATCAATACAACACATACACATTATATCAATTTTAGTACCTTAATTATGAAACAACTTACAATCTCATATCCGCCGTTAGTTGTATGTTAAAACTAACATATTCTATGAGTAACAGGAATGAAATTTTTTGTTAGTTCTAACAAGCAACTAACGGTGGGGTATGAAATTCGTGAGTTGCTTTAATTAGAGTATTAAAATTATAATACCTTTGCCCTTAGTCTAGATAGTAAAAGTGGTAATTACGCTTTTATTAATTTTGATTAGGAAGGTGATCGACAACTAGTCCTATAAACGAGCCAAAGTGAGCTCGAGCTTAGGGCGCTTGAGCTTAGGGAGCTCGAGCTCGGGCCCTTAGCTCGGCTCATTAAATGAATGAGCCTGAAATCGAGTTTGAACTCGACTCTTTATCCTTGATAACGAGCCGAGTTCGAACTTTAATGAGTCGATTTCAAACTTTAACAAGTCGAGCTATAGAAAATTATATAGAAATTCTCTTTTCGAGTCTTATCGAGCCGAGTCGAGTTCGACTCGTTAACCAAACGATCTTTAAATGAGCTTTTGCTCGGCTCGTTTAAGCTAAACTCGAGCCAAGTCGAGCTAAGCCATACTGTTTAATTTAACAACACTTGTGAAAAATGCGAAACCATTGAATTTTTGGATGAGCGTCTCACTTCCCCTCAAAATTCTTGTATGAAGATAGTATTCGTCTAATGAGTACAAATAAGAATTACGCAATAAGACTTCCACTTACCTAACATATCCTCTACTCCACTACCCCCAACTACTTTTATGGCTATACCATAGAATTTAAATACACGTATGAATTCCTCCAAGCAGTACAACAATGCTTCTTCCAAGCATCCAGTAGAAAAAAATAAACTGTTCGAATTACCAACGATGTACCAACATGTGGAAATTCGATCGCTCTCTATAAAAAAAACACTCATGAGCTCTCAATGAATATTCTATAAACTCAAAGTATAAACAAGGGAATAGCTCGCTCAATGGCCAGAACTCATGAAACTAGAATATATACAAAACTATAAACAGTACATAGGTTCATCAAAAATCGAGAGTTTTCATTCTTTATAATCCTCCCATTCGGCTTTGAAAATTGAATCCTCTTATCTTGCAAGAGTCCATGCACGAAAACTCTTCTCCAGATTTGAAGGTGAGATAGTGTCTTTCTTATTTCAATGTTGTGGAACTATCTTCAATTGTTTCCTTGCTAACTCTTGGAAATATCTTGTGCTCGATTTCTTCTTGGTAGATTGTCCAGCTCTCGATTTTTAGCTGTCCAAATATGATCTTCTTGCTCCTTTTAATCTCCAAATTAATTTATTTTTCTATAAGTAAAAGCAATATCATTGCATCCAAATATATATAGTAACATAATAAATAATATATGGAAAGTTAAGATAGAGATATTTTGTTCATGCATTAATTTAATGTAATATGGGATAATCGTACCGGGTCGACAGGACTCGAGAAGCAACAGGACAGAACCTAATGAAACAACAATTTGAACGGTGATTGAAGGAGTTACAGGTCGAAGAAGCCTCAAGTCAAGGGGGTTTCATCGAGTCAGAGAACACGGGTCAAAGTAGAGTTTTCGGATGGCCTGGGTGAAATTCGACTGAAGGTGCGGAGGGTCGAAGGATCGACCAGGGCATACGAGCTCAACACCATTGATACTTTACCTCGAGGTAATGAAGGCTAGTCATACTATTAGATCGTGTAATAAGGAAGACTAAAAGATAAGAATGAATATTATTGGGATAAATCATAAGGCGACGTGGTCTAATAGAATTGGTCAGTTCGGCAGCCCACTCGGACAATTTTGAGCAACAAGGTATCATCTCCCTATATAAGGGGGTGAAGTATGCTCATTGTTACATTACATTCTCTAATATTTTCTATATACGTACTGCACTTCATCTTCTACAAGTGCAAACTTATGCATCGGAGGCTCTTCACCGAAAAATTCTAGTGAAGTATTTTACATATTAAATAGCCATCAGTTCATATTGAGCGACAAACACAACCAACAGTTAAAGCCCGAGTACACACAAAACACTCCACATATGATGAAACTATGTCATCAATGGCTGAACTCTGCATACTAAATTCAAAGATATAAGGAGGATATAAGAAAAAAAAAAATATATACAAGAGAATCACAACAAAAATCACTTCCAAGTCTAAGCAAAAGATTGGTAACACATTTCATGAACCCCATCCAATCCAAATGAAAATTAACCTTCTGAATTAAACGATTAAGATATTAACAAAGTTCATTAAAAACCTTCAAGAATCAGAAAAAAAAAAAATCAAGCAGGAAAAAGAAAGCAATCCAAAGACTGCAACATCCAATTTTTAAAAAAATAACCCTGACAATCACCCCAAACTTGACCGAGTAATTTCATACGCCAGGAAGCACGCCGCATTAGCTGGCACACTACGGGCCATGGCAGGCCCGAAGCCCTTGTACAGACCCTTGACCCCTTCCAATCTCAAGATCTTCCGGAATGCATCAACCGACCCAGAAAACTTCGGGTTCTTATAGTCGTCCACCTGTAACACACTCTTAACAACATCAGTTGGGTATACAGCGGCCCAGAAAGCTGCTCCTGCCAGGCCTCCCGCCAAAATCAACGAACCCTGGCCCAGGCCCGAAGTGTTTGGGCCCCCAGCAAGGTACTGCTTCAAAGCCTCATATGTCCCAAACAAGACAGCATTTCCAGGGACTTCGCGGGCCAGCGTGGGGACCATGCCCTTGAAGAGGCCCCTCGACCCACCTTCGGATTGGAGGACATGCCGAGCCACATCCATGGGCCCGCCATATTTTATGGTGACTGTGGCTGGGCCCGAAGTCGCTAGTGCGCTTTGGGCTTGCAACCTGCAGTTATGGGGTAAAATTTGAAATGAGTTCAACCCAAAGAACTACTCAACATAAAGTTTAGTTGCATTAGAGAAATAATTTGAGTGAATTAACCCAAAGAACTACTCAACTGTGGCCGGGCCCGAAGTCGCTAGTGTGTTTGTTAAAGGAATAATTTGAGTGAATTAACTCAAAGTGAATTTTTTTGAGTGAACTAGGGTTAATTTAGAAAATGTGGTGTAGTTAGTTGTTAGTGAGAGTTTGAGTTTATATTAAAATAATATTGAAAATAAAATAATTAAAATTAGTTTGATGTAAAAGTAGGAGAGAGATGATATGATGTGATGGTTGGTTAAAATTATGTGAGTTGATAAATAGTGAATTAAAGTTGATATAATGTGTAAAAATGATTGGTTGTTATTATTTAATTACATTGATAATATTGAGGATAGTGGGGTTGAGTTAAAGTTGAGTTAAATTTTGAGTAGAATTAATTTGGTTTGAGTATATTCTTTAACAAAAAAAAAAAAAAAAAACTTCTTTCCTTTTTCTCAATTCAGGCTACAAATTTGTTTTCAGTTCTCATTTAGGGACCAACAGGAGGCCCTTAACTGTAAATATAAGCAAAATATGGGCCTCGGTCGACTCTCAGGCAAGAACATCTTTGAGAGAACTTAAAGGGTATCTAGAAAATTTTGCAGTTTGTATCCCACATCACGATCAGAAGAAAATACAGACACTGACCTGCACTTGATGAGTTCAGTCGGGCAAGCGAGAAAGGAGACAGCAACACCAGCCCCGGCCCCACACACGACTTGCTGGCCCACTGTAAGGGTGACACCTGGCTCGGACCTCAGCAGAGCCTCCATCTGGCCACGGACTGTGAAGAGAACAGCATTAAAGGCTGCCACTGTGGCAAGTGGGGCCCCCATTCCCTTATACAGACCTCTGGGGCCTTCGGCTGCTATTGTCTGCTTCACGGCATCAATGGCTCCTGCATATTTGGGCAGCTGCCCGGGAAGAGGGGCGGGTTGACTCTGGAGTTTGACTTTGATGGTGTCAAAAGGGTGCCCGCATATCAGCTGTGCTGCACCGCCAACTGTACCGGAAGCTAGATCTTTGGCCACGTCACCCATCTGCACGTTTTCTTTTTTCGAAAAAAGTGAAGAACTTTTACGTAGCCTTGAAAGTAAGTATGCCTCGAGATTCTTCTACCAGGAAATTGTATAATTCATATCAAAATTCATCTAGAAATTCAACGGGAAAAAANAAAAAAAAAAAGAAAAAAGAACAAATGTAAAACACACGGAGCTTAGGCTGCAATACATTCTAATCAGGAGCAATGGCAGTAGAATGCCAATCAAAACACCTGAATACAATGGAGAAAATCTACACCAACTCATCGAATTATACCATTGAAGTACAAAGAACCAAATTGCAGAGTAATCTCTCAGTTGATGCAATGAATTACAAGCAAATGAAAAGGACCAAAGCATGAACCTTTAGGGCTTCATAAACAACTCAACAAGTATTACCACATAACAAAGATTTGCAATGACAATAGCATACGGGATAATCCAACACTTCAGAAAATAACTTTATGATATGAAGAAGATATAAATTTAGGAGAAAGGCTTCGTGAATAATGCAGAAATTATCTATTAGCGAAAAAATTGTTTGTGACTTTATTCCTCGAAGCAAAATTGCAGTTAAGACAATAATATAACAGAAGTGACCTGACCAGTGTTAAAACATCCAGTCTGCAAATTAAAACAATTTTATATTTACATCGCCTATTCATAGACTTGTGAGTGATGCACATAAGGTACTTACTTTTCAATCAAGTTTTAAATACTCTATGACCTCTCCTCCATCATCAACAATAATTGCATATATCTGAAAATCTCCATTATACCAAGAATCAGGTGTATTGCAAACAATAGTAACCATGAGTTCAGTTAATGCAAGCCATGAATGATCTAAAAAAATCAAGTATATACTTGTAATGGCTACTGTCACCACTCACCACCATGATATGAGAGCATATATAACAATGTTTACACCAGACATTAAAGTGCTTGAGTTTTCTCTAACGCAATCCTTTTAATGCTTTCAATAACAGTTAGCCAAATCTTCAAGTGCAAAGCAGTGAATTTAATACACCAACCATTGAGAGCCTTCTAAATCTATCACAGATCCGAAGGCCATGAGATCACTTTTCTTTCTTTTAGCCAACTTTAATCACAATGCTAACAAGAACAGATAACTCGATTATATATAATATCCAAAACAAAACAACACAACTCATGCTCCATGGAAGGCCAACCTATTAAAATATTTAGAAATGCCTACACCAAGCACCGTTAGATGCGAGACTCACAACCAAACTCAGTTTCACAAAAGTGAAGAACTTTATTGCAACAAATTTTTATACAGTTAGAACAAGCACAGACCAGACACTGAAATCTAAATCAAACAAATAGATTACGGGTCAGCGAAAAAATTTCCTAATCGATTTAAAAACTCCAGAGCCAATAAACAGAACGAAACATAATCTGTAGAAACAGCCAAAAGAACTGACCTTTTCCTCTCCTTCAAGCTCAGACGGATGTTCCAACTACTGGGCACAATTTATAGGTTCGCGCAAAATTAAAGAAACGCAATCTGAAATCAAAACCCACGCAAAGAAACTGTCAATCATTATATAAAACGCCACCCATTGGTACACAACAATGAACATCAAGAAAAAGGGCTAATATAAGAAAGATACCAAAAAACGTTACTATTAGTTAGCTTCCATATTGAAAATCAAAACGATGGGCAAGTTGTGTTGGCCTGCCCTGAGTGGTGGAGTTGGACAACAGATGATCGAGGGCCGTCTTGGTTTTTGTGAGTATTTTTTTCTCTCACGAGTGAAATTCACCAATAAGTGGTTGGTGGATTTGAAGGTATGGGTAATTAGCATTATGATCCTCGAAATATATCAATTCGCACTTTACGCCCCAAATCAAATTAGTTGAAAGTAGAAAAGTTTCAATTGAATGAAAAATTTGTGTAAATTCAATACATAGGTGAACACAGAGAAGTAAAAAGATTTTTTTTTTTTTTTTACTTAGAAATGTAGGGATAAATATTTTTTACATGATTATTATAATTATTATTTTTAACATGTTAACTTATAAGATACAGACTAAAACAATTGTTTTGCACCGGTGAATTATAGTGTAATTACTTTTATGGTTAGATAGGGACTCATTACTAAGTTATATTTTAGTATTAACGTAGTTACAAAAGTTTTAAGGACAACTCAATTTATAGTATGGTCATTTTAATGTAATTCTACTATTGTGCGATCTGACCTTGCAATAGGTATTTGTTCGGTAATATCCAAGTCCCATTTTTGTTAATACTCATAACTGAAGTATCTATCACTTCTAATAATTTTTTCTATTTTTACACACAACAATTCCAATCATTACATTTTAAATATTATTTAATTACAAACTCAAAAACATCTACTTAATCAACTTTATTCAAAATAACACACTACGAAAACTGGTTGGATTCATCCAATCGCGCCCTTATTGTATCATTTCGTTTGTGTTATTTACTAAAACATGACCACTTTCATTTTGTTATATATTTCATCTAGCAATACCATTTTAGAGTGCACAATTTAGCTAAAAGACTATCAAATTGAAGGTGAAATGACAATAACTTCAGGGTGTGACAATGTGAAGTACATATAATACAAGGAGGCAAGTCATAAATTACCCTAAACTCCTAAAGACACTCAGATCCACATGAGTGAAACCTTAGCACTTATAAAAAGCAGTGAATGAGATCCAAGCCAGTGAAAATTGGGTAAGGGAGATGAGGCCTAAGTTGTTGGGTCAATTTCAACCTCTCAATAGGCCACAGATAAAGACAGTACCATTAAGTTCAGTGACATTCTGTGTGTGGGGCTGGGAATCTTTGAGAGATTCCACTTGCCAAAGCTCTTTTATCACCCAACACTTTTTCCATACATCTTTTCCTTTTTTTGTACTTTATTCTTTATCAATGCACATTAGGGATATCACAATTGTGTTGTTAAGTTAATATGGTGCAATGGTAAGGCCAATATACTATTTTTTTTTTAAATAAATGTACATATTTTTTATTAGAAAATGTCATATTTTAAAAAGATTATAAATATAAGTATCATATTTGACATAATTATACATTTTCTTCATTACGTACGACGGTCGACTCATGTTACGTCTTGACTTCCTCACACACGAGTTACATGAACAAGAATTATTGCGTGAAACAACCTAAAGGTTAGAAGGGCTAATATGTCATATTTTTTGAACAAATATGCGGTATACATTTTTTTTAAGTATAACCTACCAAAAGATAAAAATTTATTAGACTATAATATCTTATTATCCAAAATTTGGTCTAACAAGGGACAAGGGGTATCAAAGTTTTCCTTCAACTATGCACCCAACCTAAGATACCATTTTAATACTCAACTTACCCAACAACCCATTTCTGAGATTCATCCACATATTCCAATAAAGGACTTAAACATATTCTCAAGGTAAGAACAACTGAATTTCCATACTCCACACAAAATGCAATAGTTATATTAACATTGGTTTTTATCAGCTCAAAAAATTTTCATGCAGGGTCTCAAGGAGAATAAGCACTACTGCCGACATTAGTATGATTGCGGAAATCTGTGTTTCTTCGTAATATATTGGCAACTTATCAGATAAATTTTGCACAAGGGCACATGTCAACAATGACAGAGTAGAAATTTGGCCCTGTAAAAATGAAATCCTTTTCGTTAAAACCTTGAAATACGAGCTAGAGAATGTACTGCAAGATACAAACACGAATTGCCTGGCAGGACAAATAAAAGAAAATCTCCAATCTGACAATACTTGCACAAATATCAGCAAATAGTAAATACTAAACCATTTTATGATAACCGGGCATTGCTAGAGTAAAGGATAAAACATATTGCTTCATACGAGGTCCTGCAATCTTCGACAGAGTTCATAGAACTAATGGCTATTCATGTTCGTTGAGCAAGTAATTTTTCAACACCAAGACAGAAAGGACTGCAATTGGTGATGCCGTCTTGTGAATATCCGATGGATGAACCCGCACTTGATGATATATATCCTGCTCTTGGAACTACTACTACACTCGCTGGCAGGGCAACCCTTTTTTATAGAAGTCTTTACCTTATGAAAATGAAAAGATTTATTAATTTATTATATATATATATATATGAAATTTCCCATAGGGACACAACACGAATTTGCACTCGGGGACGGCTAACCAAAACTTGTATAGAAGTGGCAAGTCAACAGATTTATAAGAAAGCAAAAGCATAAAATAGTATTTCAATCCCTTGAGATGTCACTCTATTGATCATTGTCATACAGAGCTACAACTCAAGAGGTTCGAGTAACATTTTCATAACCTGCGAAAGATCTCCTTCAAAAACTATAAACAAAGCAGTCTAACAAGGTCCATATATCAATTCAAATATCACTTAGCCTCTAGTCAGGCAATATTGTTTTCGATGGCAATAAGTCAATGTAACCAAAACATGAACTATTGAGTAAAAGAAGGCAAACGATATTAGAACCAAGAGCTTCTCATATAACCCATGGCCATCACCAAATGTACATTTATCTTCAGTAGCTATTATTACACTAATGCAAAAAACAGAGATAAATGAACCTATAAACAAAACTAAAACAAGCCTGCAAAAAAAGGAAGGGCCTTTCTTTTTCCTTCTCACTAATAGACTGACTCAATCCTTTCTTAGAGAATTCTCAAGAACCAACCTCAACCGGCCCCCTAAAACATCCAATTCCGCAATCCTTTGCCTCTGCCACCGAACCTGAAAACTCTCGGCACTCACCCCTTCACCACCTGAAAATCTCCTTCTCAAGTCATTAAAACAATCATCAAACACATTCATCACCACTTTCGCCGCTAGCTCCCCCACTTCACTCTCATGCACAAAATGACAGTTCTGCCCTTTCCCGATCACCTCAGCATCGATGTCATAGCCCTCGTCATCCTCCATAGTTCCATTCTCTTCTTCTAACTTCACATTCACCTCACTCAAGTTAACTCCCTCATCTCGATCGTGCTCCTCCTGAAAATCTTCGAAAGTGGGCCCGCCATCTTCACAACCCCCAGACATGATCGCAGGCAATGTCGGAGAAAAATCGACCTTAATCCCAACAAGACTCGATTTTTTCGCTTTTCCATCACTACTACTACTGCCACCACCACCACCACCATCGGTAATATCCTTGATATTATTATGACTGTGACTCAAACTCACATTCCTAGCGCCACAGAAAGGCGAGGTGGAAGCGTAATCCGGGTGCCATAGCTGCTTGGACAGGTCGTAGAGCGCGCGATCGTGCGTGGACAACTGCGATCGGCCGAGGCCCTTGGATAGACGGGCTGATGTGACCCGGAACTTCTTTTTGAGCCTCCGGAGCTTCTCCGACAGCTGCGATTTCGTGTACGGCTGCGACATGGTTTTGGAGAACCGGGCGTAGAAATTCCCCAGATCCCTTGGGAAGGCCATGCTCTGAGATGAGCGATCGAGGAGGCCCTGCAAGAACCGGATCTCGTCCGGTTCGGTCCATATTCGATGGAACTTGAACGGCGGCGATCTGTCGCCGATTGGTTCTGGGCTCGGATCTGGATTTGGGTCGGGGGTTTTGCGTTTGACGGGGAGTTTTGGAACCGAGGGCTTGGATTGGGGTTGAATGGGGGTGGAGTCCATGGCTAGGGTTTGAGGGTGGGGGATCGCTCGACCTGTGTGTGTATTTTTTTAACTACTGTAAATGATAGTAATTTTCTTCCTTTTTTCCGATTTTAGGGATATTTTGAGGATTTGATTATTCAGTTACCCTATTCACCACCTATATACAATTTATGATTAAACTAACATAATTGGTTGAAATAAAACATGACAAGAATGATATGTAAGTGTAATAGTTGTTGATTTTAAAAATGATGTTCATATAATAACCTAGTGAAATGGCTTGAGTGGTTAGCTCGGTTATGGCACGTTCAAGGGAGTTTCAGCTCGGTTTCGTCAAGAAGCTCACTTAGGCAGCTCGGGATACATTTGACCTAATAAGAAGACTTGGAGGTCGAGATCCTCTAAGAGCTCAGATAAATGAGGGGACTTCATGGGCCAAAGGTCGTCAGGATGCAAGTCATGGTTAAGACCTGGTTCGAGCAGGTGGGTTGCGAGGTCGTTCGAATGACCTGAGGATCTAAGTGTCGTATAGTAAGAGGGGACAAAATCTTCAATGATGAAAGGTGTATCTCGCTAAGGAGTCTGAGATTATAGAGACCTGACAAGCTATGAAAGTAGATACGACTGGATCTCTTTCATAGTCACGACTCTTTTTGACAACAAGACATCCTAGTATATAAAGGATGATCGGTTCTATTTTATGATTAACACATGTTTACTTACGTGCATGAGCTTAAAGTTTACATACTTTCTCACGAGCTAGTACTGATTTGAGCGTCATAGATTTTTTTGTCGGGACCCCTCTCCGACGTATTGCAGGTCACGGAGCTCGAGGTAGAAGACCGCCCGTGGTGGTGTCGGTTTAATCCGGCTCAACGATAAATATGTGTATCAGATGTGATGTGTAAAGAAACAAGATGGTGTGTTGTTATATCAATGTTTTGTCATACATTATGTCACAACATGATTTTACAAATTATTAAGCATCTTTTCTTAAAACTTCATATTGCTTAAGTTGTAGTTTATTGAGTACCAGTTTTCATATTTTCATATCATTATAGTAGTCACTTATTGATTAAAAAAAAACTTTAGACATTGTAGACCAGGTTTGAATGGATTAAATTAGGAAAAAAAAAAAGAGAACTAACATGCAAGGTCAATAATTTCTTAAAAAAATAAAAATCAATGAGGTGTGTGTTGTAGTAGATTGTAGATTTTTTTTTTCTTTTTTTTTTTAAACAAAAACTTCGCCCAAAATAGCTCCAAGAGTCGAAGGACACACAAGCTAAGGTTGGACTTTAGGATTGAGAGAGTTGCGTAGGGTTGGATTCCCTAATATTAGAGATGTGGCGTGTTGTGCCATACGTTGTGTGCAATGCGCTGGGAATCGAGCACTGTAGACATTGCTTTTGTAGTGTTGTTGAGTCTTGAGACTCAATCAGATTAGTGCCACTCTTTGAATGCGGGCTTACTACGCGTGCTTGCCATAGATGACTATGAAGAATAGAAAAGAGCAATAAAAGAGAGAAAAATAAGCTCCAATTGATTTTACAATTCGGAATAAAACTTAAAAAAAATCATTAAAATTGAATTTGAGATGTGAAACCTAAAAGAATACTAACATATTAAAGAGGATTATTGTCTAAAGCAAAAGGACTTGCAAAATGTGGTAGGCATACATTTTGGATTTAAAAAAAAAAAATGTGAATAAGAATTTTGATGTATTAAACTTGAACTTTATAAAATTTTCAAAAGTTTTTGAAAATTCAATTGAGTTTTCAAATAGATTTAAAACGTTAGAGGATGACTACAGTCCCGTTACGAAATCATTCTATCGGGGTTTTAACTGTAAATACATCATGTAGATTAGTGTAGATAGAGAACCTACGTTTAAAAATCCCAACGGAATGGTCCCGTCACGAGACTGTAGTATTTTCCTAAAACGTTATAGATTTTGAACTATACTTATCGCTTAGATGGCTTTTTAATGTCGCCCACACTTGTTAATTCTTCCTTTGGCACGGCGGGTCTCACCCTCCTCTCTTGTGTATAATTATGACACGCGGATCCCTTTTGACATCAGTACTAGGGTCGAGCGGAGTCGAACTCGAATGTTTAACGAGTCGAGTAGAGATTGACCATTAACTAGAGAGCTCGTGATCGAGATTAAACTCGGTTCGCTTATCAATATTAATTAATCGAATTCGAATTCTAACAAATCAAATTATAGAAAATTATATGAAAGAAATTATTTTTAAATCTTAATTAGTCAAACGGCTTAGGGGGTGATTGTTTATCAATTCACTTAAAAAAAACTAATTAAAACTCAAATTTAACTCAACTTTAACCCCCAACTTCATTATCTCCAATATTATCAATATAATTAAAATAATATCAACCAATCATTCTTACACGTCATATCAACTTTAATTTATTATTTATCCTCTCACATAATTTTAACTAATCGTCACTTTCAATCATTTACTCTTACTTTTAATCATATCAACTTTAATTATTTTATTTTAAATATTATTTTAATATATCCACTAATAACCACTGTTCTAAAAATCGGCCTAGACGGCGCCTAGGGACTAGGCGGTGCCCGGACGCCTCCGATTTGTACAAATCGGCAGAAAAAATTGGCCAGGCGGCGCCTAGACGGGGCTAAGCGGCCCTAGGCGCTCTTAGGCGGGCTTGGCGGGCTCGGCGGCCAGGCGGCGTCTAGGCGGGCGTAGGCGCTCCTAGGCGGGCTCGGCGGCAATTTTTCTTTTTTTATTTTTAAATACTAATTATATTATTTTGTTCTCATGTTTTCTTTAATATATATTAATATTATTATTTGGACTTTAGTGTGTGAATTTATTATAAGTTGAGATAGTTTTATTTTGTAGGTAGTTAAAATAAATAAAAAATAAGGTACTTACATTTATTTCTGGACCCCGACTAGGCGCTGGTCGAGCGCCTAGTGACTTTTAGAATACTGCTAATAACTAATCATACCAACTTTTTTTAAAAATTAACTGTAATTAAAGAAACCAATTAAGTGCTAGATGAATTTATAAACCATCACCCACTAAATGTTCTTTTTAATGACCTTGAGCTCAAATCTTTTAGAAAACGAGCTGAAATCGAGTGATAGCGAGTAATTTTTGGGCTTAAACTTCTTAACTCATTCATAAAAATCAGAACTCAGATGGCGAAATAGATAGAGCACTGAGCACTTGCCGCAGGTCCGTGCCACTAACACCGTTTCTCCATTTTCCTAGGGATTTCAACTTTATTAAAACAACATAAATTAAGATGTCGTCGGCTACGTCCATCTCCGCCACTATCAGGCATCTTCATATACGCCCTTGTCCCGCCCTGTCTATATTTACGCCTAGAACATGTGTGCCGGCAATTGGTGACCGGCAGAAAAAATTCTGCGTTAAAATGTCTTCGAAAGCATCGGACACGCTTGAAGTCTGCGCTAAAGAATCTGTTACAGCTCCCAACAAGCTTGGAGATTGTAAGTTTTGGATAATATTCTTCCCAAAATTGCTCATCGTGAAAATGACAGTAGAAATTGAGTTTATTTTGTGTTGGCAAGTGAAGATTATGTGGGGTTGTCAAAGGCAGGAACTTTGTTTTGGTGTTCTATCTAATGTTAAACAGGGATTGTGTCTATGAATCTGTGCTGATATGTGCGGGAAATTTTGTTTGGTCTCCGAAAATCGGTTTGAGGTGTGATTTGTAGAGTATTGGTGTCAGTCGCTCTGCAATTGAGAGAAACTGTTTTATCATGAGAAAGCAAACTTATTTCCTTTTTTCATTTTGAGTTCCATTTTAGCCCATTTCAGTATGCCGTTGCCGTATATGTTTCAGGTTGTCTTTTTAATTGCCAATATGCTTGTGACTGGTTTCAGGTCCATTCACTCAAAGGGTCTTGTTAACATTGGAGGAAAAACATCTTCCCTATGACTTAAAGTTGGTTGATTTGAGGAACAAACCTGAATGGTATTGACCCGATTCCACCTACTATACCGCCTTTCCATTTTATCTATTTTAGAGTGGTGAATTTATGCTCTCGGCTTTGTTTTACTGTATGTGTAGGTTCTTGAATATAAGTCCCGAAGGTAAAGTTCCCTTGATAAAGCTCGATGACAAGTGGATACCTGATTCTGATGTTATAACTCAGGCGTTAGAAGAGAAGTTTCCAGAACCCCCACTTGCAACGCCACCAGAGAAAGCTGCTGCGTATGTTGTTACACCATCTTTGCGTAGTTATCTTGCGGCTTGAACTTTATTTATTTTATTTTTATATTGAAGAATGTATTCGTGAAGTTGAAATTCTCTCACCAATTCAGCGGCCTGGTCAAGTCTGATTATTTTGCCTTGAGGATATTTGTTAGCTGATTCATAATAGTTCACGAGCAATTAAAATTTATGGTTGAAGCTTTTGATTTTGAATTTAAATCTTGCAGGTGCTCTGCTATTTCACTCTACAGGAATTGAGTAGTACTATGACTTATTGGATTGTGGTTGATGTTTCCATAAAGAAAAGAAAAGATAACGTTTTTTATGGTTTTGAATGTACATATGGTTTCTGTTTACAGTATCTTGCTTCACTTGGGATGCTTGAAATTGTTTTTAATTATTCTATTTCTGTTTTCTTGTAATAGACCTGCTCTCTTTGTGCTATAATAAGGCCATCTCACACGATCAACATTCGTGTGTATTCATTAGCTTGTGACAAATGTATAAACGAAATTAGTATTAGGATGATTATCAACATATTATTGGCAGAAGCCAATCCATATTGCTTGTCTGAATCTTTCTTTTGTAGTGGTTCCAAGATATTCTCGACATTTATTGGATTTCTTAAAAGCAAAGACCCAAATGATGGAACAGAGCAAACGTTACTAACTGAGCTCGGGGACTTCAATGGTTATCTTGAGGACTGTGTGAGCAACAATGTTTTGTTTGCTTTCATGTCTATTTCATATATAACAACAATTTTTCGTACCTGGGATCACACAATTATATACGATTTAAGCTTTTCAAGTCTTTCAATTACTATGCATAATGTTTCTATTTCCAATTTTCCTCAGTAGAGAGAATTCAGGTTGTAAAAGAGTAGCGCATCTTTCGTTTTTGCTTACGTTAAGTGAAAATAATATCAACCGCTTAATTTCAGCAGTGGTTCAAAAGTTTTAAACAGTTCTTCTGTCTTATTTTCGCTAATAAATACAGCAACATGTCAGTTAATTAGATGAACGCGGCATTTTCTTTTTTCTTTCTTCTTTGTTTAGTTTAAATGTTCGCTTGTAGGGCCCATTTATCAATGGAGAAGTGATATCGGCAGCTGATTTGTCACTTGCACCAAAGCTCTACCATCTTGAGATTGCTTTGGGACACTATAAGGAGTGGTCTGTCCCATCATCACTTACCTATCTGAATTCATACACGAAGGTATATCTTTTTTTTTTTTAGAAAAAAAAAAATAAAAATAATTGTTCATTATTGTTCTTTTGCGTCTTCATGACCAGCATGCTCGTTTATTTTTTCAAAAGTAACATTGTTTTATCTACAAGTGAGCGATTGCATACTATATACATGCGTTGATATTCCCATAAAAAAGGAACATTATTCAAGAAGTGATTATAGTTTGTCCACATCACTTTGTTGACATTGTAAAAATTGTTTATTTACCGTGGCCTTGATTGCTCAGACTATATTCTCCATGGATTCTTTCATCAAAACTCGAGCTCTACCGGAAGATGTGATTGAAGGCTGGCGGTCGAAAGTCGAAGGTTGATAAATCCATTAGAGTTGTCATCTTCTCGACATTCTTCGACTTATGGGGTGTGCACCATGCAATTTCCAACATGTGGTGCTATCTTGTTGATAAATCTTGAAGTACATGCTTACTGATGCAAGTGAATTGAATTCAAATGTTTGGTGCATCCAACTATATTCAAATATGCAGTGGAGCTATTTATATTAATTTGAGTTTGTGGGAATAGATATGAGATAAAAATGAAGTGGTTTGATATGAAAATAAGATTGTTAAAAATAAGTAGATAAATAAATTTTTTAGTGGAAATGATAATGTTGTTAGGTTGACTAATATAGATAGACGAGGATCATTTTTCAACTAGTTTATATATTTTCATAGCTAAATGTGATACTTTAAAGAACAAATATAATTTAAAGTGACATTTCATATAATATTAGTACGTAGCCCGTGCGATGCACGGGACAAAAGTATTAAATGAGTCATTTCCACAGAGCTTGTCCGTTAAGTAGCTTGTGCGATTCACGGGAGATATTAAATGAGTGGACCATATGGCTTGTCCGTTCAGGCCTAAAAAATAATAGAGTTTGATCATCTATCTTTTTACATCTTTTCATCAACGTCATTTTTTTTTGTCGGAACATTAAACCTGAGTCTGATAGCTCTAGACCGTAAATTAACTAATATATTATCTCGCTCACATGTTTATAATAATATAAATTTGATTTTATTATACATATTTATTCCTTGATATAAGAAAAAAAAAAACAATTTTACGTAATATTGTTCCTCGTATAATACTCATATTATTTTATTATAAAATTTATTGTAATATAATGTCATTATTATTATTTATACAAGTTATAGATGTAGTCTTCTTCTTCATATTGTTTTATGTAATTAAACTAATTTAATGTATGTTCATATTATTTATTAATGTAATTAATTTAAATTATGTAAATAAATTTAAAGTAAAACATTTTGTACAAACCTTTTACAAAATATACACAAATGTTTTTTTAGAATTTAATTTTTTTATTATAAATAAACATCTTTGAAATTTTATGCAATTATTAAACATCCTCGATAAATTCGAAATCATAATTGAATTCTATGCAATTATTAATTTCGTTTGATGTTATGGGAAACAAATAATTCGGAAATGTAACAAAATGATAAGGAATTTTGAAATTTAAATTTTAAATGAGACATGTTTTTACTTGAATTCTATGCAATTATTATTTTGTTCGATTTTATGGCAAACAATTCATTCAGGATTTTAATGTAACAAAATGGTAAGAAATTTTAATATTTAAATTTAAATTTGAAATGAGACATGTATTTGCTTGAAGTTTGTCTGTCCGATTTTATTGCAAAACACATCAATTAATGATGAATTAATGCAAACCGGTTTTTTAGTAATAAAATAATAATACAATTGAAAAAATTAATAGAAATAGAATGCATTAATTACCTTTGACTTTTCTGCATACTATTTCTAGTAAATATGATGACTTTTTATATAAGTATAGATTTTGTACTCAAGTGTCATGTTTTATAAAACAAAATAAGTAAAGCATGATATTTTTAGTATAAAAATATATAACTAAAAATGACATTTCATATAATATTTTATACTGAGTGTCATATATATATTTATATATAAAAATGTATGATTATTTTTAAAGTACTAACTGTTTCTCGCAAAAAATAATCTTATTCGCTATATCTAGAAATAAATTAATCAATATATGGTGTAAAGTGGGTAAATTTATTTTTGGTATTTGATGGTGGGCATTAAATCAATCAATACAATATATGGTATAAAGTGATTGAATTTATTTTTGGTATTTAATGACCTTAGAAATAAATTAATTAATATATTGTATAAAATTGAAGAATTTATTTTTGGTATTTGATAAAAAAATGGTGAAAATAAAGTGGAAATATGTTTAGGTATTTGATGGCTTTTTTTTAAGGAAATACTTTGTTGAAAATTAATCAATATATGGTATTTTTTTTTTTTTGAAATGCGCAGGCCAATATATTGGTTTTTACCGTTGGTCTCAATTTTTATTTCAATTTTTTGTATGAAATTACCGTAACTCCGACAAAATAAAGTAATGTGAAAAATAATAGGACCGATATTTTTTTTAAATGATTGGAGTGTAAGTCAAAATTCCAATGAGATCTTATAAAAACGACAGTGTATATCGTATTAATCATTCTTTAACAAAAAACTTTCACAGTGGCCAAATTGATGAAACAATAAAAAAATATGCGAGATCTACATTAAAAAAAAATCAATATTGTCGATTTAATTCAATATACCCGATATAATCAAATGATTAATTGATTAGCAAATAACCAAAATATAATTGACAAAAATCTCACAATAAAATAGTACATAACCACAGTGTAAATCAACAATTGATTAATTTGCAATATATAAATAAAAAAATACAGAAAAAATATAATAGCATCAGATTAACCAAAAAAACGTGTGAATTACATGGAGTAAATCTCTGTCAATACAAAATAGAAGAAGTGTTATTTGCAAACATTTAAAAATTCACATGAATAATAGGCAATTTATTGTGTTTGTTAAAATATTTTCATATCAAATATTTATAAAATCTATTTAAAATATACTTTGTTCTTCTCCCCCTATAAATTCAGTGTAGATCGATGTTGTCTACTCATCATGCTTTCAATTTAATTTTTTATTACACAAATACACGATTTATACTTATTTAATTCAATTTAACATGAGGTGCGGATTCGGTCTGACCAAAGATGTCACTAGAACTAAAAACCCACCCATTATGTTGCGTAAGATTCGAAGAATTGAACACAAATTTGTGGCCGAATACAATAATTACTTAAAAATCTTATTCACGGTGAGGACTTCCGACAGATCCTCCCGGTATGAGGGCCGTCAGGGTGTTTTGAATGCTGCAATTAATTTTTTTTGATATATGGGCTGACTGTACTGTGTTGAGGCATACAAAAAATATGTGCCTTCAGAATGAATGCGAGGAGGTGACAACTTTTGCTAATTGGATAGCGAGCATCAAGATGGAACCATTTGGGAATCCAATGATAGATGTGCCTTGATAGACATACTTGATGATATATTATTGAAGCTCATTGATGATCTTATCGCTGCAATCGTTGAGAACATAGTATCTAATATTTAAAGATTCCAATAATAATTTTTTATCCGATCTCCACACCCCTGAGTTTTTGTATGCTATCAGATATTCTGGAGTGTCGAACTATGATTTGAATCTTAAATAAGAACTACAGTCATGTTGTTGAGGAACATTGACCATTATATGAGATTGTTCAATGGTACGAGATTTGTTGTCACAAAACTCTCCACTCATGTGCTTGAATGTAATGTATTGACTGGATCTAATGCAGGAGAGAAGATGTTGATACCTCGTATGACTCTAACACATTCCGACATTAAGCTGGTGTCTTCGGCGGCTCCCTATTCAGTGCTATGCATGGTTCCTTGGTAATTTCTAGTTTGATCAGTTAAAGTACTTTTCAAAATTCAGTGGAGGCAGTTTCTGTAATGGTTTCTTATACCATGAGTCCATGACTATTAACAAGGGCTGAAGTCAGTCTTTATCACATTTTAGCATGTTCTTGAAGAAGCTTTTGTACAATCACAACTAATTATATGTAATTTCGCGTGTCACTAATCGAGTTTGAAAATATTAGTTTAAGGGAAGGATTGTATGTTGTCTACAAGTTCAAGAAGGTTTGTATAATAAATATATAATAAGACAAAAAAAATATGATCGAAATTTCAAATCTCGTGTCATCTAAATTCACCTTCCACGCGTCGATTTGAGGGCCTTGTAAGAAGACAGGATGGCAGCAAGTCCGCGTCACTTGTACGCTACACTCTTGCTTTCTGTTTTCTGGATTTCTCTATTTTATTTTTCTCTCTCTCTTTTTTTTTTTTTTCTTTTTTTTCTTTTTTTTCCTAATATTTACTGGAGTCACTTTCCACGGTGACACTGTCTAGAGTTCACAAGATCTGTAGGAAACAAAATTGACAGCCGAACGTAGAATAAACTCGAAGCGCAACGATGAGCTCGAAATCATCAGACCCGATCGAAGTCTGCGCCAAAGAATCTGTCACCACTCCCAACAAGCTCGGTGACTGTATGTTTTGATAGACCTTAAAAGAGAATCTGCCACTGTTTTGTTTTATTCATTTGTTTTGGTAGAAGAAGATTTTCTTAGATGGCATAGATCAATTCAAGGGTGGAGTAGAATTTGTTGTGGTGTTCGTGAATGCGATACCAGGATATGATTCTTGGTGTGTTGATTCAGTTTTGTTATGATTAGCGAACAATTGGTTGAAAATGGGAAAGCTTGCAATTTTTTCTTTCTTTTTCGTCAAGTATCTCTTTGGAATGCTTAAATTCGTGTTTTCTGGCCATGTTTTGATTTGTGGGATTGTGTTCTCAGGTCCATTCACTCAAAGGGTTCTGCTTACATTGGAAGAGAAACATCTTCCCTATGAGTTAAAGTTGGTTAATTTCAAGAACAAACCTGATTGGTGATTACCCTAATTCACTACTGTTGTTGTTTTTGTCTGATTTTTATATTTGATTTGCTGAAAATTGTTGAATCTTGTGAATGCTTCTTCTGTTGCCTTTTACTATATGTATAGGTTATTGAAGATATCTCCAGAAGGTAAAGTGCCCTTGATCAAGCTAGACGAGAAGTGGATTGCCGATTCGGATGTTATAACACAGGTGTTAGAGGAAAAGTTCCCTGAACCCTCACTCGCTACACCCCCTGAGAAAGCTTCAGTGTATGATTCACATTACTTCTAACATTTTGTTTACTTCTTACGGAAGAACGTAATCATATTATACAACTGCCTGGTTTTGTGTTTTCATCATAGCACATTCTTGAGATTTCGCCTCTATCCTGTGCTTTAACCTTTATCCACTTAGACTTATTCCCGAAGAGCAGATTTTAGTGATAGTTCTCTTGAAAATGTGATAATGGGCAACTTTGTCAGTGTTTCCCATAAATCAGAAAATATTATATTTTTGCGCACACGATATATACAATGGTCAAGTTCTTATTGCCTCAAACATACTGATATCTTGCTTCCTAGGAACTAGTTTTTCCTGTTTATACTGTTAAAGGTGGTTTTATGGAAAGTTGTGAACGGAACATAATAAAATTTCATGAATTATTTTTGTAGTGGTTCAAAGATCTTCTCAACCTTTATTGGGTTTCTTAAAAGCAAAGACCCTAGTGATGGAACAGAGCAGGCTTTACTGGCTGAGCTGCGCTCCTTCAACGATTATCTTGAAGAAAATGTGAGCAGAAAGTTCTACTTTTTTATGTCAAGATGTTATTGAAATGAAGCTTTTCATTTACGGTTGGAGTTTGTGAAAACGTGAATTATTATTGTTGTTACATGCCAAGTTTTGAGCGTATGATGAACAGATAAATAACAAGGTGTCATTCCTTACATTTTTCTTATGTTGGTTCAATCCTATTGAATAATTCTGGAATACAACTTTGTTTCTTGGATAATGACAATATCCACCCAACCAAGTTCTAATAAGTTAGATAAAATCAAATATGGCATTTCTCTTGACAAATTGCACCTTCATAAGGGGATATCATCATGTAAGATCAGCGGAATGCTTGAGAGGTTAATGTAAGGTTTGGCAGATAACTGGATTATTTTTTTTATTAAATATAGCTTAAATCGTAAGGGTGGGTTCGTAACTTTCCTATTTACATGTGACCTTGTGATGCATGGTTTCTTTGACCTTCTACTGCATCAATGTGGAAATAATTTGTCTGCTGTATTCAGTCTAAGGATCCATGCTTGATCAGAGAAAACATGGTTATGAATTTGTATTTTGCCTACATTTCTCAACATTTGATGAAAACAACCTTCAACTCTGTGCTTACATTATCAACTTCTTAAATGTTTTGGCAATCTGGCTAAGATTTCTAGACAGTTTCTGTTCTTATGTCTTCATGTGCAAAGACATTGACTATTGATCAATAAATTGTCTTTAATGAAACAGTAGCATGGTAGATCACAACTTTACATTTTGATCAACATTATGCTACAATCTATTTGTTTTGTTTACTTATTTTTGTTTCTGCTGGACTGGGACTAGGGCCCGTTTATCAATGGGAAAGTGATATCTGCAGCAGATTTGTCCCTTGCACCTAAGCTCTATCATCTTGAAGTTGCTTTGGGATATTACAAGAAGTGGTCTATCCCAGCTTCACTTACCCATTTGATTTCGTACATGAAGGTATGTTGAATGTTAGTATTTATTATGTGGATTTCATTATAGTCAGTGTGCTAATTGATTTCTTAGCTTGTGAGTGTACGGCCAAGCACAAATTACATTGTGATGAATTATGCAACTATTTCGCATTTGTGGTTTTATTTTTTCCTGATTATTGCTGTATTTAGTTGTTGTAAAGGAATTGGTGTTGTGCAACACACGGAATGCAGTATTCTAATTAAATTTAAATAAGTCCTCGTTTGCATAATAAGTGTGCTCAGTTGGTACGGGCTTCAAAATTAATATGAGAGACGACACCTTTTCGGAAGATAGACGATATATACCTACCTATAGAATCCTTTTGGAAAATTGATTTATTTCTTGATGCATCTTGAAAGCTTCCCTTGTTATCTTTGGGATTTATTTGGAAAATTAGCATCAGTGTTCCAATGTGGTGATATCCTTCCTCCTGTAATGCTTTTGAATGAAATATTGTGCCATATCATCTGAATTTTTGAATGATGTCGATTTTTTTATTTGGATATGACTGTATCAATATCCAAAATAGTACTTTCCGGTATAGTAGACTAGGTTAGTACTAGTGTGTGTGTGTGTGTGTGATCTGTGACTCAGTATCATCTACCGTGTGTTGTAGAAGATGGAATTTTGTATTTCTCTCATTTACCTGATAAGTAACAATCACGCATTGGTAATAATATATTTCTGATTTAATATTCAGAATATAGACCTGTTTGGCAGTATCTTAAACATTTATTTATTTATTTTTTCCAATTTGTTTTGTCTTTGCCTGTTTTGATTTTCAGACAATCTTCTTCACGGATTCATTTATCAAAACTCGAGCTGAACCGCATGATGTGATCGAAGGGTGGAGACCTAAAGTGGAAGGTTGAATGACTATTAGCTAGCCAATGAGTTGATTGACTTATATTATTGCATCATGTCCTATTTTATCTTGATATATATATTATTGCATAAAATCTATGAAGACTTATTAGCCAATCAGTTGATTGACTTCTTGTGGTGTGCTTATGTAGTTGAAAGATTGTCCAGTGTCAGTGTCATCGTCAGTTTGTGATTTAACAGGACGCATTTTAGTAAATTTTCATCTTTGATTGTTAAGACCAATTCAATCTTGGAAATCAGATTTTAGATCTAATATAATGGTAAAACCTAAAATGTAAGGTTTGTGACCATGTGAAAAGCTGCAGTTAAAGGAGCTCTTTAGGGGCTGAATTTCTTAAGTTTCATGGCAGGATTGAATACAAAATATTTAGAGATAAATTTTTTTTTTTGAAGCTCAAAATATAGTTTAAATATAACACAAATTGACTTTCTTCAATATTATTATGAATATAATGATATAATATTAATAAATTATCTTCACACATCACATCAACTTTAATTTACTATTCATCCACTTACGTATATTTAACTACTTAACACTTTCAATCACTTTAAAAAAAAAACAATTTCAATCTCCTCTCTCTCGTTTTTACATCAGTTTAATTTTAATCAACTTATTTTAAATATTATTAAATATAAATTTAAAATTTCACTCAACCGAGACTCAATCATTTTTTTTTAAAAAAAAAAAATATCTCATTTTATCCAATAAACCCAATCAAATCTGAAATAACATATCCGGTCAGACCTAAGATTTTAAAGTTTCAGTTGTTATAATCTTGTCATTTTAAATGTATGAAGTTACTTTAATTTCTTCAGAAGTTTTGTATTGTTTCAATATTTTTTTTTAAATTTAATATAATCAAGCAGCTAAGAACTTGCACCAGTGTGTCAATTCAAACACGATGTGTTGGTCATATAATTCATAAATCAGAAGATCGTCATATACTTCAGAAATTAAGGGCTATGGTTTAAAGTTGGAAAAACAAATATTTAATATTATGGAGATTATATTAAAGTTTTGCCCACATAATAAATAATGTCACTTTCACAGTGGGGGTGTCTAAAGTCTTTGGGGCTATAAAATAATTTTTTTGGGAAAACAATTATGTTATACAAAGTTGAAGAATATGCACATGGGTTCATTGATAAATTAAGGTTCATTGCACGTAGATCCAATTATAGGCATGCACAGAGTGCTTTCTTGGGCTTCCAATAATTTAATAATTGCCTCTCAATCTCTTTCTGCTGGGCTTCCAAGAATTTTCGTGTTGCTTTTGGATTTGCTCGGATTCAATGCATACTTAAGTTGGTAGTGGGATTAAAGAGGGATAAAGAAAATAAACTAATGGCCGTTCGACTCATAATTTCTTAATACAAATAAATATTACATTTTTATTTATATTGTCTTTTAAATGTGCAATTTTATTAGGTTAAAAGTGTGTATATTTATTGGGATGATATGATTGTCTAACCAATAGAGCCGTCTTACTATGGTTATATAATCTATACGTAATTATGTATATATATATAAAGAGGGACTGTCATTTAATGCCATAAGAATTATTTTTCAACAATATTTTTAAACGACATATGATATTATTATATTATATATATTAATTATTAATACTGATTACAATCAAATCACTCTTAATAAGATGACTTATAAAAAACAACACTTTGAATGTAATATGTTTGCATTTTTTTTTCATATATTCAGGAGCCAAAAGTATAAATAGATAAGATTATACCCACGTGCATACACACACCTATATATTATATATTATTTAATATTTAGCACAATTTGCATTTATTCTGTCTAGATTTATGTTAGTCGTATTTTGATCAATATTTAAATTTAAATGATTAAAACATATATATTATACTAATTAAATTTATATAATGTTATACGAGATGAATTATCAATCTATACTTATATAAAAAGTCATCCCATTTACTAGAATTAGTAAGAAGAAAAGTCGACTCATAATTAATTGCACACCATATTTAGAAAGTTTTAAATATTTTAAATCATAAAATATGATAGCATTAAATAAAAGTTCTATTTTTATCATAAGAACTGTGAAAATATTAATTTTAATTAGTATTATATTCAACTGTGTTTGGTGTTATTTTTAGTTAAAATTTGATTTATAAAAACGACTTTGCTTATAATATTATCTATGTACATTTTAGTATTATTCTATATAAGAAATATATATAACATTATATACAGCAAAAAATAACATTATTGTATATGGGTTTCATAATTTTCTAATTCTAACCAAACTTTTACTTTTGTTCAAATACTACCGATTATTGAAATCGGCGCAATATTTGAAATTGAGTTGACTTTCATAATTTCATTATTTCTTCTTGTGGCTGTGGTGCGGGGCGGTGGAGGAAGCCTATGGTTGTTGACTTTGACTAACATATTTCATGCAATAATTTGGTAATTCTTGCATATTCGATCATAATGTAAAACTTTTAATTTTTGCGTGAGAGCCTACTTTAGACGATCTACCCATCATATATTTTTCTTAATAAATATATATTTTTGCTATTAAATGTATACATTTGTTCATGTGATTTTTAGTGCATTGTCATTTCAATTTAAAATATGTATATCTATCGAAAAAAATGGCAGCATAACGGCTTGATCTGCCTACCAATAGAGTTATTGTACCTTAACAATGCTCTAGGGCGTGGTTGGATAAAATATATCCGCTCGAAATAAGTTTTATTTGATAACCAATGTTAGTTTTGAAAATTTTGGTATGATTAATTATTAGTGAATAATTGAGTTTATATTAAAATAATATTTAAAATAAAATAATTAAAGTTAATTAGTTGTAAAAATAGAAAAGAGATGATGTGAAATGATAGTTAGTTAAAATTGTGTGAGTGAATAAATAGTGAATTAATTGATGTGATGTGTAAAAATTATTGTTTTATATTATATTATTTAATTATATTGATAATATTGAGGATAGTATAGTTGAGATAAAACTGAGTTATATTTTGAGTATGGATTGAAGAAAATTATAAAGAAACACCTCCTTAGGCTTTGAAGTTAAAGAAGGAAAAAAAATGATACCTTTTTAAATAAATGATACTGTAACGGATAATTATGGATATTACTTACCATAGTTATCTTTGGTATCAAGATTAGTTATTTTTAGTATGTAGATATTTGATTTGATATGATTATATCTCTTGCAATCTCTATTTTTTTCCTGTAAACTCTTTACTACGATAATACAACAAAAACTCTTTCTTGTCTATCATGTTATCTCTTGTGATTTTAACATGGTATTAGAGCGGTGAATTTCGCCGCCAACATTCTGTCTAAGATATTAATTAACCATCACTACACTTTTGTTTTTCTTTTCGTCACCATGGCTTTGGGTACCTTGACTCCTTCAATTAAACCCACTAATTATAAAACTATCTCACCATATGATATCCCGTCGAGTGATAACCCCGGATGTGTGATCTCTACGGTTCTTCTCACAAGGTAAAATTATATTGAATGGTATTCCGCTTCGAACTGCTCTCCGAGCACGAAAATTTTTTGGTTTTCTTGACGTTTCCATCCCTACACCTGCCGACGACTCTCCGGTGATTGGTTTATCAATAACTCCATGTTGGTTTCATATATGAGAATACGGTTGATCTGACACTTCGACCCTCCACCCCTTAAATTGAACTCGCCAAAGAATTATGGGATCATCTTCGGCGTCGTTTTTTCGTTGCCAATGGTACTCGAGTTTAGCAATTAAAAGGCGAATTAGCCTCCACAATTCAAAAAGGTATGGCTATCAATGCATATTATGACAAGCTGCGTACATTATTCGATGAATTGAATTCATATCAGCCACCAATCGCATGTTCCTGTGGACATGCCCATGAATTTGAGGCTCGTTGAGATGCTGAAGAAATATATAAGTTCTTATTGGGCATGGATAAAGAGGTGTATGGGGGCCTCTCCTTTAAAAATAGATAAGTCCCGAGCTCTTATCTGTAATTTCATAACTTTTAATATATTGCACTTTAGAAATTGAGGCAAATATGCAATTTACAAAAGTTCGATAACTGCACAATAATGATAAGTGAAATGAACAATATTACGTGTTGATATGCACATTAAAAATATCATTGCACTTTAACAAAATTACAAAATTTTCACCGCTGCCACATTTAATAGTTTAAGAATTTACCAAAATGCGACCGCGCTACAAAATGAACAATAGTGTTAGACGAAATGTACATTAATGCATGTGAAATGCACAATAGCATACCTGAGTATTTTGTGAGATGACAAAGATGCCTCTGCGTGAAGAATCAACAGTACTCATAATTATAGGAATGACACTTTTCCTTTGATAATTATAGGAATGACACTTTTCCTTTGAATCAGTGCTGGAGTGTTTAACCGATCTTGAAGCGTTGATAAATCACATTCAACGACTACGATTAATTCTTATATCTTTCACCATCTCCCATTTTCATCTTATTCTTTTATATATATATATATTTTACTCGGTCAACAATATACATTACATTTCCTGCAATTAATTATTTAATCTAGAAATTAAATTTTGAACAAGTTTCCAACTAAATAAAAAATTATTCAATTGATTTCAATATGAAATTTAATGTCCATTTATTTGCCAACCTCGAGCATTCTTAAATAAGTACCAAGTTCTATCTTAAGAGTGAGATTGGAGGACTCACAAATGAAATAATTGAACTGAGTGAGACTGAGAAAGACATGAACATGAGTTGTAACATGTGGGGCTTTCTTAAATGTCTACCTCTAATGTAAAGTGTAAATTAATTTCATTATTAAGTCGAGTTTCAAGTTTTTTTTTTTTTTTNCTATGTTTAATGTGTGGGCCCGACTAACCTATGTGACTAGCTCAACTGCTCAAAGTCAAATTTCATCTTCATTAGAATGAAAGATCCCCTATTATATAGAGTTTGTATGATGTAACAATAGTGAAAGTTCTCATTGAATATAATATGCCCTAATTGCCTGTTGGTTACGAAAACTCACTTTCGGGGTAATACGAATCACTATTATATGTGGACGAAAATGTTGAAAACGACCGACATTTAATTGGAATACTGACCTAAAAGTCCCATTTCATATCACAGGCTACATAAATGGAAATGGCATAAAAACTACACATTATTATTAAGTTCTCAAATTGATTTGATCCAACTTGAAATGAGAGTCCCGCTAGTTTCTTCCATTCCATTTGTTTGCAGGATGGAGTTTGTTGAGTGTAGGGAAACAAATAAGGGAGTTTAATTTAATTAACCATTAATTGTATAGTTTATGTATGAAAAAAAGTTATACCTTAAGACCTAATAGAGTTATTAAACGAAACGAATCGTTAGTAAACTTGATTAACGAGTTAAAACACGAACTCATTATACTTGAAGAAAAGTTATACCTTAAGATTTTTTATGTATTTTTTTGAACTTTTAGCATGATTCATTGACTTAACAAGATCAGTTCGATAAGGGCTTGAGCTAGAACAAGACTATGCTCTTTTACCTCTAACAAATAACAATCACCAATCTTAGAATAATCACCAAGGTAGCTTAAGTAAGAGCTAATTAAATTTCTATTGAAAAATTTATTTCATTTTTTCACATTGGTACCAAGTCATTGAATACACAAGAGGGGGTGAAAAAAAGGATGATACAGCAAAATACATTTAACCTAAATGAAATCTATGAATTGATGAAATCTTCTTCCAAAAAGAACAGCAAACTATTTTTTGGATTTTTTTAAAATAAAAGCCGACTTTTTCTAGAGAAGTGAAAAGGTAAAAAAAATAAACCACCACATGATTTGACTCATCTTCCCCTGTGCGGTCAGGGTCAACTCGTTCCGCGTCAATCCACAACTCACTGCCCACAAACTCTGCGTCGACTAACCCCCAGCTCCCCCCGCCGCCAGCCGCCACGCCGAGGTGGCGATGAGCGGCCGCGTGTGCCAGCTGAGCATCAAACACCCGCAGTTCTCCTCCACCCTGTACCCATCCCCGCCGGCGAAGAGCTCCAGCAGCAAGCCAGCCTGCCTGAAAGCATCCGAGCCCAGGTGGACCGGCTCGAACCCCGCGGCCCCCAACCGCCGCCGCCACCGGTCCAGGGGCTCGTGCCGCTCGACCCGGTCCGGCCCCTCACAGGCCACCACGTTGCATATCTGCCGCGCGAGGTACACCTCTGTCATCTCCAGGTCCTGGGTTTCGGGCCGAGCCGGCCCGAATCCCTCGAGCGAGTCGAACATGGTGGAATAGTAATGGAGGGCCTCGTCGAACCTCTCCAGAAAACTGCAGCCGTTGTGGTTCGCTTCCTGCTCGGTCACCGTCACGATTTTCGGCTTTATCGCTCGGATTAAACCCAGAACCTTGTCAATTTCCCCGGGCCTGGATAAAAGCCCGTGAAGCTCGAAAACAGAGTTCACGGCCAGCGACTCGCCTTCTACGGGCCCGACACCAAACAAGCTCGGATCCAGATCGGCCAAGGAATTAGCCACCACGCCACGAAATTCGAACTCGACCCCTATCGTCTCCGCCAGCTGTCCCAATTTCAGACCCACCTGTTCCAAAGCGTCGCCGTTATCGGGCTGAGGCGGCCCGATTCCAGTGAGTCGAAAAATCGGCGGGCCGCCCGGCCGCACAGCCAAAGCCTGAATCAAGGCCGGCCACTGCATCCCCTGTTTCAGGCTGAAATCGACCACGTGGACCCTATCAGCTCCGGCGAACGCCTCGAGAATCGCCTGGTTGGCCGTGAAGTGCGCGAATTTGAGATAAGGCCCCGTCTCGTAAAAATGGGTCTGCAAAATGTCGCTGTACGAGGGGCCGAGGGATTCCGGCGGGCGAATCCGGTAGATCCTTCGGGCCAGGGCCTCGGCGAAGTATGTGGCCACCTTCCTCATGGCCCCCACCTGAGAGACGGCCAACACGCCGATGTTCTTGACCAGAGCATCGGCCAGCTTCGCGTTCCCCTGCTGTACGGCCTCCGCGCACGCCATCAGCATGTGAACGAGCCTCACGCCGGCCTCCTGCGAGTCCACCACAACAACCGGCCGCGGGGCCTCCTCCTCCGCCGCCGTCACCGCCGGACCGGATAGAGACCCGCTCGGGGGAATCTGAATCTCAGATCCAGGAGACGATTTTAGCCGCTTGCTGCCGTCTCCAAGGACCGCGCCGCCGGGAATCACCCTCAGGTCGTCGTCGCCGTTCGAGAAGCCGGTGAAGCCGCCAGAAGATTGTCCCGAAATCCCGATCTGGGTCGAGAAATCGAGCTCCGACAGCATGGAGTCGACCCAGCCCGAGAGATCCGACGGGTTGTAGTGGACGGTGTTGTCGCAAAGGAGGGAGGAAACTCCGTCGTCTCCCGCCGCGGCGGCGGCGGCGGTGGTGCCCATTGCCATCTCCAGCTGCTCCAGTTTCTCGGCGACCTCGGCCATGTCCGAGGACTTTACCTTGTACCCCAGGACGGCGAAAAGCTCGTCCATGCCGGCGTCCTGCGGCTGCGGCTCCGGCCAAAGATTCGATTTTCCGGCGGTGGACGCCGCCGAATCTGTTTTATTGCGCTCACGATCTCTTTTCATCTGCCCTATAAAATTTAGTGGTCAAATTACGTTGGGAAAAATGAAAGATATCGAGTGGGTGAAAGCTTGAAACTTTGTAATGGATTCGTTGCTTGGTTTTTTGGAGCACTTTTTTGCTTGGGTTTGAGAGTGGGAAAGAGTGCTGCGTGACGAAAGGCGCCAGCTGAACACAAGGGATAAGGAAGAAGGAAAAATAAAATAATTAAATAAATAAGTTGAAAATAAATATTGAAATAATATAAGTTTCTAAGGCTTCTTTAATGGCGTGGGCCTGTGGACTTGAGTAATTCATTTTCTAGTTTTATTGTTGTACTAATTTTAAATTTTAGAACTAATGACAACAATTTCAATCGGTCTAGCCGTTTCTTTTCCTAAAGTATAAATTGAGGCACAAAGGTCTCAATACATCACCCATCATCTACTTTGATTCGATGCCAGCTTCAAAAAATATAATTAAAAATAGGATGAATTGCAAAACCTTTTCTTGATTTGTAATATAATCCAAACCTTTCAATAACAAAATCATAGCTTTAAATTCTTATAAATCCAACTGCAAAATCAACAAGATTACGTGGCTTGTTATCAGATGTGAATAGAGGGAAACGACATATCAAAGATTTTAAAAAAAAATAAAAATAAAATTAGAGATGAATGGGCGTAAAAAACACGAGCCAAACACTTCTAATTCTTTGAGAAATAATTTGTTGATGGCCTGCTTCAATTTGATAAATAAAGTACCTTTTAGTTTTAAAATGAAAAGATTAAAAATTAAATTATGTTGGTGAAAACAGCACTACTTTAAAAAAAAAATAAAAAAAAATACACACACACACATAATAGGTAGTCGTGTGACAACACAGCAGGACAAGATAAAAAGAGGCCTCGAAAGGCAGGCCCATTTACTGAGTGAGACAGTGATAATAAGGTGATTCCATCACACAAACTCGTCTGCTGGCCCTACACAATTATGCATGAAAACTGTTGCATTCGTGGGCCATCTTATGTCTGTTCCTCTATTTTGTGAGGTTGTTTTTACAAAATTAATACAAATCCTTTTGAATCTGAAGAGTATGCGATGAATTTTCTCAGTAAAATGAATCTGTTGTTGACTAATTTGAACATTTGCGTGGGCACTGAATGTGGTAATTTTAATCGACCAATTAAGTCTTATGAGCTTTGAATTTCTAGGTACTTTAATTTGGATATGATGGTCTATGACTACAGAGTTCATAGATTTTGGGGAATTTTAAATGAATCCTCCATGTGAAGTTGACGTCCCATTGCAATAACATATACATTAAAATTGATATTACACATTATCTAATGATTAATTAATCATACTTTACCAATAAATTAATATGTATATTTTAAAATTGATATATCATAGTTAAAGAAATTAATAATATGAACAAAAATATGACATCATAGCATAAGCACGCATTCTTATTAATAAATTATAACAAGTCGATCTGCCTAACGAGTGCGCCACACAAATTGTTGTGTCGTATAAGATATAAGCCCTCGAGAAGTATACATATGCTGCTCAAATACGAGAATGAAATCTATAAAACAAAAAACATTAATTTTTTTTTTTTTTTTCATGNTTCATGCCACTTCTATAGATAATAGTGCGTAGCCAGTGTAATGTACAGGTAAACTAATTAAATAATAATTATAAATTAATGAGTGAGTAAACAATATTAAATAATAATTATAAATTAAAGAAGTGGGGTTTTACATGTGATATAATTTACAATATAAAATTATCTTGTCTAAGATAACATAAAACATGCATGTTTAAAATATTAAAAACACCTAAAATATTATATAACATATATAAGATTATGTAAAATATTATATATTATTGTTAAAAAAATTTGAATTCACATAATTTTTTTTAAACTATTTTGTAACCAAAACATGTCGAAGGACATTTAAATTCAACACATATATATATATATATATATATATATACTTTAATCTATAGAATATGTAAAATATTTACCCGAAAAACATGTTTAGAAGTATATAAAATATTAGTAATTACAAATTATTCCAACAGAAGATTTCAAATTCGAAAATACGAAAATATAAACAAAATAAATCAAATTTTTGAAAATGTGTGATTTATAAAATACATGTCAAATTGAACAAAATCCTTCATTGTAGGAAGTTTATATCTAGGACACGTGTTGTGCATTGGTGTTTCTAAATTTTGAAATGCATACAATTTGATATACACCATATATTGAAGTCGATATTTGAAAGTTTAAGTAAACAAAATCCTTAATTTATGGAATGGTTGGAAAATTCGTCCAAAATGAAGGGAAAAATCAATCCCAATTTTTGCAAAAATATTTATATCTAAAAAACGTGTGCATTGGTGTTTTAACTTTAGAAATGTATACAATTTGATATACACCATATTTTGAAGTCGATATTTTGGAATTTTAAGTTGAACAAAAACATTAATTTAAGGAATGGTTAACAAATCCGTCAAAATATTTATATATTTGCTTATTCAAATTTTATATTTAGAAAAAGAATAAAAATATGATATTATATATCATAAGTATCATTTCTTTTATTTAGAATATATCATACCCGTGTAGTACATGAGTATTTAAATATATTAATATTTGTACAATAGAAAATTAAAATAATTTAGATTTTTATTGTGAAACTAGTTATATGAATATACAAAAATAATAAATAACAAAAAATTAATTCTAAATGGTGCCCATATTTTACACTAAATTTGTCAAAAATAATTTTTTTAATTATATTTTTAAAATTATATATGTCTAAAATAGACATTATTTACAACTCCATATATTTGGTACGAATTTTTTTTTAAACAACACAAGTTTTATCGTATTGTGATTAAATTTATATTTATAGAGTTGGTGTCTCTCATTTATTAATTTTTTAAGTATTTTAAATTCGTATAATTTAATAATTTAGAATATTAATCTACGGAGAAATATATTATTTTTTAAACATATGAAATGTAAATTATTTTATTATATTTAATTACAAAAATTCTTTATATTTCTCATTTTAAACAACATAATACCATTTCAACCGAGAAATAGTATTTTATAATATTTCTTATAATTTATTTTACGTAATACTTAATTTTTATAATTTATCCAAAATCTATTAAAAACACATTAAAATTAATTATTTTATGGTGTATTGATGAGTTAGATTTACATTATTTGTTAATATAATTAGATATTGTTTAAATTTATTTGATAATAAAGTTAGTGTTATTTATAAAGATGGATGAAATTATTTTTTATTTTATATATGAAATATGGATGTCAAATCGAAGATCGTTAAAATATGAGTATTTTGATATATCATAGATAAAAAATAATGTTATAATTTTAAAAATAAGAAAGAATACTAATTTACGATAATTAATGTACGAATTAAATAAGAAAATGTAGGAGTGGTATGTGATAACTTAAAATAGTTTATAGTAATTCTCAAGTCTAATAGTCATAATCAAACTTGTATATTTATCAATATAAAACACAAATTTATGTCAAATAAACTTTTGAAACATACAAATTTGTCATTTAAACTCAGCGTATTCAAAAAATTATATATAATGGTGATTGTCGCATAAATTATCAAACCATATATGAATATGCATGACTATTGTTGTAACCGTCTACCTAATAGTGCCGTAATTTATTTGTCTTATAAGGAGGAAATGGGCTCCCATCCCTAATTTCTGTTTTGCCCCTTTCTTATTGGGCCAACCCATGTGAATTCCTCGTGGTCGTGGGCGATGACAAACTATACTGTTATTTTTACTTAATATAGTGTTGAACCTACGTCACATCTCACATTATTTTCATCACCTTAGGAATTAGTCTACACCTCTACACCTATGAAGTATTTGTCATAGAATATTATATTTATATTTTATCTCCATTTGATGAAAACAAATAAAGAAAAAGATACGTTTCATATTTTCCATTTTATCATTTCTCTTTTCTTTTAGAAATTGATCATATAAATTATAATAGAGAACAACATTGGACCAGAAGTTATCAGTAGGCAAGTGCCCAATTGTATTCCAATCACAATGGGCTTCGTCCTATAAATTTTGATGATTTGTGCCAATCTAATCCATATAAAATCTGTCCAATCCAAATATGCGTTTGACATATAAATAATATAATATGGGTCTTTAATTGCAAAGTCCAATTTTATTTACATTAATTACATACATGGAACAATAATATATAACACATATGTTATAAACACATTTTTCTTTATTACTTTTTATGCGCTCTAGAATCTCGAACCGGTCTTTCCATCAACCTTCGACCGATTTGCTTCTCGGAGACCTGCAAAGACACTAGGAAGTGTTTTTGGCGTTAAACCTCCGACGATCAAATCAGTAAGGGCTATAAAAAGTTATATGAAAAATCTATTGTAAAGCTTCAGGTGTATAGAGTGATAAACCGTTACCGTTTTCATCTCTTACCTATTTATAGTGAATTATCAACTTCTTGAACAAGCTTTGTCCTACCCGGCTGCCTGAAGGCCTACCCGAGTGCCCAGACTGCCCGAGAGACTGCCTGTCGGCTATTTGAGTACCGGTGGGTCTGCCCGAGCTCAATTCTTACCCGTCAGATCATTAACCCCTTATGTTTGTGGCCTTACACATGTCCTCGTCAACAACCAGGCTCCAGTCTACTATGTTGCCCAAGTTGTCCCATGTTCGAGCTACTATTTATCCGAACTACCTGGCTTCCTGACATATCCCTGTCAAAGGTCCGAGCTACTTGTTTTGTTATGATATCCGAGTTATCCTATGTTGGAGCTACAGACACATCTAGTAAATCCGAGCTACTTGATTGGTCAGAAAAAGTGTGTATATTATATATTTATTAGTGTATTTTTTATATGTTTAATTTTGTCGCACTTGTATGTTTTTCGACTTATTTATTTGTTAGATGGATTCTTGTACTTTGATATTTTCATAGTTTTTTTTAGGATATTGGAGTGTTTTCGGCGGCGACGTGACATTGGAAGAAATTTCATCCG